GGCCATCTCCCCTGGGGATAATTTCTCACTTTCCATGTCTCTCAGGCAAGGACATTCACTCTATAGCAAAAATCTCTTTTTAAAAAAAAAAAAAAGAGCAATCAGACCTTCAAACCCCACCTGCTATTCCATGAAGCTTCCTCAGAGACCAAATACAGGTCTAGGTTATGCAGTAAGTGAATTGGAGTCAATTTGCTCTAGGAGGGCCCAGCCATGGCAGGGTGGAAAGCCCATCCTGAGAGGACAATGAAGACATGAACAGGCACCAGCAGGTAGGTGGTGAAGTGGTTACGTCACTGGACTCCCACATGGCTAACCACAGTTCGAGTCCCGGATCCGGTGGCTTGAAATCATATTGGGCATGTGTGCGTGCATGCCCAAGATCCCAGGAGGAGAATGGAAGGGAAGTGGTTGTGGTGTGGCCATCCCCCTAGAGGATGATTTCTCACTTTCCCTCTCACTGTCTCTGTCTCTCTCTCCCTGGCAAAAAAAAAAAAAAAAAAAAGCTCTAAAAAACATGGGGGGAAAAGAGGAATAAACAGCAGCTGACTCTCACAGTTCTGGGGAGAAATGAAGCTAAAGTCTCTAAGAAGGATCCTTCCTCAATCCTTCCAGCTTCTGGGGGCTCTGCATTCCTTGATGCATGTCCAACACCCCAATCTCTTCCTCTGTCCTCAGGTGCCTCCTCCTAGGGTGTCTTTTCTCTGTGTGTCTCTTAAAGGTCATGCCTTTGGGTTTAGGGCCCATCCAGGTAATGCATCATGACTCCATCTCAAGAGCCTTTACTTAATTACATCTTAATTACAAAAAAGGTCTCATTCACGGGTTCTGGGAACTAGGATGTAGACAGATCTTTGGGGCGGACACCATTCAGCCCACTGCCGAGGGGCGATGCAGATGCTCAGCTATGCACATTGAGTTTGATGCCTGTTAAACACCCCAGTGGGAAAGGGAGCAGGCAATCGGAGTAGGAAGAAGTCAAAGCTGAAGGTAATCATTCATGAGTCATCAGCGTATGATTGGCACCTGACGCCAGGAGGCTGGGGACTGAGGTTCAGGTCTGGAGACCAGAAGCAGGAGACGACTCTCAGGATGGCACCAGGGAAAGCCCAGAAAAGATGTGGTTGCAGCTGGAGACCAGAGCCGGCCTGAGTTCATAGGCAGCATGGTGGAACACACTTCGCCAAGGTCGGTCCCACTTTGAGGCTAGCGGCAGCCTTCTCAATCTCCATCTCACTGTTCTCTGTCCAAATTCCTGAGCCACAGAGGCCACGAGCATGACTGACGTCTGCTCTGTACCATGGTGTTTTGGGGAAACATGTTATGCAGCCATGGTAACTGAAGCAGCCTTCTCCCCACTGACGAATCAGAAAGCTCTACCCCAGAAGCGAGTCTCTTGGTGTGAACCCGGCTCGGATCCCACCTCAGAATTGGCCCCTCCATCCCGGTTGCCCACAGGAGAAAGGCTCTGAGCCTCCCTTCTCCTGACCAGACCCAGATCCTAGCAGATCCACAGTATCCACAGCTCAGGTTGCCCTATTTCTGTGTTCTAGAATGCAGGGTGTGTGTGTGTGTGTGTGTGTGTGTGTGTGTGTGTGTGTGTGTGCATTTATTTACTTATTTTGAGTGTAGCTACATGTTTTTAAAACCCTTTTTCACATGATTGCAGAGAGCTTGGTAAGAGATGGGTAGGAACCTGTCTTTAAGCATAAACTTGCAAAGTCACCTTGCTCAGCAGCCTCACTCTGCGCTTTCTGCACAAGAGACTGCCCTGGCTGGAACCTGTGGTATTAGCACAAGGACGCACAGATCAGTGCACTAGAACTGAGACTCCAAAGCCAAACCCCTACATTTATGCTCAAATATTTAACAAGGTGCCAGGACAAGTCAATGAGAAAGGGACAATGTTTTCAACAAGTGGTGCTAGGACAAATAGATCGCTACACGCAAAAATATGAAAAAGAAAGGAAAAAGAACTTAAGACTCTTACCTCATACCATAAAAAAAAACCTCAAAATGGATTATGAGGATTATATATAATTATATGGATTATAAGGGCTAAACTTACAAAAGAAAACATGGGTAAAATTTAAAAGAAGACACAGGTAAAATCTTGGTAGTTTTTGTTTTTTTGTTTTGTTTGTTTTTTAGAGAGATTTTTGTTATAGAGTGCATGCACTCACCAGAGAGACAGAAAGCAAGAAATCACTCCCTGTGGGGAGGGATGGCCACACCACAATCCTTTCACAATCTCTTCTCCTCTTGGGATTTTGGGCACATGTGTACATGCACCTGGCATGATTTTTAAGCCACCGTGTCTGGAATTCAAACTGCAGTCAACTACCTGAGAGTCTGGCGACATAACCATTATGCCATCTGCTGGTCCCAAAATCTTTGTAGTCTTAAGTCAAGTAGAGATCTTAGATACAACACCATAAACACAGCCATAAAAGAAAAAAGAAAAAAAAAAAACCCTGATAAACTGGAGTTTGTTAAAATTAAAAGCTTTTGCAGAGGCCAGCAGGTAGTATAGTGGTTAAGGCACTGGACTCCCACATGGCTGACCACTGTTCAAGTCCTGGACTTGGCAGCTTGCTTTCCTGTTTTCCCTTTCTTTCTCTCTATTTTGCTCTGTGGTCAAATTAGGAAAAAATAATGATGATGATGAGTAAAATTAAATAATTCTTAAAAAAAAAAACCCTTTTGGATTTTCAAAGATAACATTAAGAAAATGAAAACAGGGCTGACCCAATGGTGCAGGGGTTAAGCGCTATACACATGGAGCTAGGTCTCACATGATCAACCCCAGTTCCAATCTTGGCCCCAGAGGCTTGAAAAACATACCAGGTATGTGTGTGCACATGCCCCAAATCCCGGAGATGGAGAAATGGAGGAAAGAGGATTGCAGAGTGACCATGCCCTATGGGGGGGGTCTTCTCTCTTTCTTGCTCTCTCTCTCTATCAAGCACACACACCCTCCGACAATTAAAAAAACAAAAGTTGGAAAAAAATGAAAACAGAGCCAAAGACTGGAGATAATATTTGTACATCATACAGCTGCTAAAAAGACTTCTATCCAAAGGCTGCAGATGGCGTGGTGGTGAAGGCACTAGATTCCCACATGGCTGACCATTGTTCAAGTTCCAGACTTGGTGGCTGGCTGGCTTTCTTTCTTTCTTTCTCTCTCTCTCTCTCTCTCTCTCTCTCTCTCTCTCTCTTTCTCTTTCTCACTCTGTTCCTATCTGGTCAAATTAAAATAAATAAATAAATGTTAAATTAAAAAAAATCAAAACTGAGATCCCATAATATACTACTAGACTGGATAAAATAATGACAAACAAGACCAAATGTTGGTAAGAATGTAGAGAAATTAGAACCTTCATACATAGCTGGTAGGATTATAACATGGTACAACTGCTCTGGAAAAGTTTTAGGGTTTTTTTTGTTTTGTTTTTATTTATTTTGTTGTGTTTTGTTTTGTTTTTGGAGAGGATTTTTTGCTATAGGGCATGTGTGCTTGCCAGAAAGAGACAGTGAGAGACAGAGAGAAAACCCCCCCATAGGGCATGGTTACACTTCAATCCCTTCTCCTCCATTCTCCTTTTGGAATCCTGGGCACGCATGCACACATGCCCGGCGTGAGTTTCAGCCACCAGGTCCAGGACTCAAACCACAGTCAACTACATGGGAGTCCAACAACATAGCCATTATGCCATCTGCTGGTCCCATTTTTTTGTTTGTTTATTTGGTTTTTTTGTGTTTTTTTTTTTTAAGAGAGAGATTTTTGCTATAGGGCATGTGCACTTACCAGAGAGACAGAAAGCAAGAAATCACCCCCCAGGAGGGATGGCACATCACAGTCCCTTCTCCACCATAATCTTGGGTACACATGCACAAGTGTCCAGCTTAAGTTTTAAGCCACTGGGCCTGGGACTTGAACCGCAGTTGACTACATGGGAACCCAGCAACGTAACCATTATACCATCTGCTGTCGACTCCCACGTCTTTTAAAAAATAAATGTAAGGCCAGCAGGAGCCATGGTGGTTAAGGTGCTCGACTCCCACGTGGCTGACCATGATTTGAGTTCCGCACCTGGCATCTTGTTTTCTTGCTTTCTCTCTTTTTCTCCCTCTCTCTCTGGTCCAATTTTAAAATAATAATAAAATTAAAATTAAATCATTCTTTAAATAAACCTAAGCTGAGCTAGCTGGTGACATGGTGATGGATCCCACATGGCTGACTCCACAGTTCAAGTCCCAGACTGGTGTCTCAAAGAACACACTGATTTTTCTGTGCATGTGTGCCTAAAATCCTGAGAGGATATAAGAGAAGGGATTATGGCATGCCATCCCCCTGGGGGTGATTTCTCACTTTCCCTCTCTCTCTCTCCAGCTAATGCACATGCTTATGGTAAAAAAAAAAAAAAAAAAAAATCTAATTTAAAAAAGTTAAAAAGCTAAACTTACCATATGGCCCAGCAATTCCATGGCTAAGAATCTACCCATGAAAAATGAAAACATATGCCCACATACAAGATTTGAAGGTGAATTAATGTTCCTAGTTTCTCCATAGTTCACAGTAGCCACAAAGGAAAAGCAATCAATACCTACCAATGGACGAGTGTGTGAACAAAATATGTTATATCCATACAACAGGCTACTATCTGACAAGAAGGAATGAAACTTACACGTGCTACAATATGGGCGCACCTCAAAAACATCGCATCAAGTAAAAGAACCCACATGCAAAATACTGTATATTTATATGAAGTTCCCAGAAAAAGACAAATGTGTAGGGACAGAAGCAGATCAGTAATCCCCTGGGGCTGAGGGTGAGCACGGGATTAACCAGCATCAGGGAACTGGGTGGGGCTGACAGGCTGCGCAGTCCTCCTGATGGATTAAAATCCATTGAATGGACGCCAACGATAGGTGAGTTTTATGGTATGATACTTCCACCGTAAGTATCCATTAAAAAGCTGCACAACAAAATAACTCACTGTTGAGGGCACGGGAGAGACGGTTGAGCGGTGGTTCCAGTGGAGAAGGGGAGATTCATTGTTGAAAACGGCAAGCGGCCAAAAGCAGAGAGAGAGACGAGATCGAAATAATTCACTCACTGGACAACCCGTCCCAGGATAATTAGGAACTGGCCGTTTTCTCTGCCCACCCCATGAGAGGTCTGCTTACCCACTTCCCTTTTCCTCCAAGCAAGGCAGTTTCCAGACCAAATAAGGCTGCAGCTTTTGCCATGCTCCTGGCACAGAGTTCCTTTTAATTCCTTTTAAGTGCCAAGCTTATAACTTGGACCTAAAACCTCCCCAAGGAGCATGTTGCCCATCAGCCACCCCAGCTAGATCCCTCTGGGTAACTCCAAACAAACCAAGGTAAACACAGAGTAGGACCCGGTGGCCTCTATCCTTTTTCTGGACCCACCCAGCAGGAGGAGGGGCAAGCTGAGAAGCTTGGAAGGCAGGCAGGCCTCCATGCTGAGGGGCAGGGCTAGGGGACAGCAACCTCTGCTGACAGTTGACTGGCTCCTAGGGCCTTGAGCACCCTCGCCTCTGCCTGGAGCACAAAAGGTCACTCACTGAACCCTCTGCCTGGAGCACAGTGTAGCCATTAATGATGGGCCACACTCACAGTCTCATTCCCTCTTCACTCCAGCTTTGCAAGATGATGAGATCGTGACGATGGCAGCCAGCTTGGTGGACACCAGGCTCTGGTCCAAGGGCCCTATGTGTTTAACTCATTTAACCTCCACTGTGAGACAGGTCCTATTACCCCATTTTAGATAAGAAACGAGGCTACACAGCACACACGAGGTGAACCTGGACATGGACCCTGGCCATGGAGCTCTGCCCACCACAGGCAGAATACAGCAAGTTCTCCGAGTGGCGCTGGTTCCCCTGAGAACAGAGTCGTCACCTCCGCTGTCGCAGCTTCTGCAAAGGCTATATAGCCTGCAGGCTGAGCACTGTCAGCGAGATCATACTTGCTGGCTGGGAAGATGTTTGGCTTGAGACTGTTTTTCCCTTTCTGGGGCAACCCTGTCCAGGCTAAACTGTAGGATATTTTTCAAGCAACGAGCTACATTTTCCTAACAAGGTCTCTTTGGGATAAGAAATGGAAACGTTCTGTGTTGCAGCCTTCAACTCTGACATTTTAATGATACATCACCAGCGGCTTGAGTGGGGTCAGCAGTGAAGGGGAAAATGCTCTATGGGATGGGGGTGGAGGACATGTGGGGCATGACAGTCATAAGCCAGACACCACCAGCACTGCCGTGGAGACCACGAAGCCAGACCCAGGCCTTGACAGGGCACGGTGCCGGACACTGTTCATTTCCTTGACTTCTCAGCACAGTCAGCAAGGCGGGACTGTCCCATCATGCTTTACAGAAGGAGCAGGCAGGCCCAGAGAGGGGATGGTCTGGCTGAAGTCAGCAGTGGGTGGTGGTGCCAGCATTGGCTCAGGTCCCTCTGATTCCAGAGGCTTCCCACCACCCCAGCTTTGCTGGCTGACTTTCTTTACCCCAAACTCTTCCTGGGGGGATGGCCCCTAGGGAAAGCACCTGGATGACGGTCCAGATGGAAACTCCAATCTTGGTCTTTCTCTAATGGGTAGAGACAGATTCAGCACGGCCTCCAAGCTGGGAATGGGTAAACCCAGTAAGATACACAGATGTGGTCGTAACTGGGTTGGCGAAGATTATTTGGTAAAAAGTAACAAAAACCTTGGGGCCAGCTGATGGCATAGTGCTTAAGGTGCTGGATACTCTCACATGGCTGACCATGGTTTGAGTCCTGGGCCAGACTCTTTGTGTCTCTTTCTCTGGTCAAATTAAAATAAAATGAATGAATAAATTTTAAGAGAGAAAGAAAGTAACAAAAACCCAAGGCAGACCTTCTTCAGCTAAAAAGGAAGGTGAACTAGCACAGGACACTGGGAAGGATGGGTTGCAGGTCAGGAATGGCTGAATCCAGGTGCACAAACACTGTCAGCAGGTCACTCTTCTACCCCTACTTTGGGGTCTCTTTCTCTTTGGACTTCTCTCCTGCAGAAAGGCTTCCTTTGGGGAAAGGAGCTGCTGGGCCAGCTCCAGTAGAACTGGAACTTTCTTTCAGCATCTGTATGTCAACCCCAGGGCAGGACTCAGATGGGCCTGTTTGGATGCTGGCCCAACTCTGAACCTGGTCTTGCTATGACTAGAAATGTGAAGTCTCTGATCCAGCCAAGGACATACAGACTCTGTGTCCAGGAGATGCACCAGAAAGTCAAGGAGATAAAGCATATATCTCTGGGAGGCAAAGCAGCTCCCCGTGCACCTCGACAACCACGCAACACTTCAAGATGGGTACTGCATGCCCTTATAAGCATCTGGGTACCTGTTTCCCACCAGCCACAGGTCCTCATGGGGCACGAGAACAGCAGCTAACCGTCTGCAGGTGGGTTCTTGACACCGCTCCGCACACGGCGGCACTCACTATGCACTTACTGATGTAGCAGAATGAATGTGGCCACACAGCAAGGGCCCTGCCTCTTCCCCTTCCCAAGCAACTCAGTCCCAAAGCCACCTGATGGGAGCAAGAAGGCATCCACGCAAGGGGGCAGAAGAGGAGCCATGGTGGCCTGGCACCGGCAAAAGCAGTGTGGTCAACAGTGTGCTCGCCTGGCCCAGAGTGCATGGCAACACGTGAGCTGAGTGAATAACACTTGGAGGACAGTGGTGTGACCAGAGAAGAGAGGAGGCTCACAGGAAGACAGAGGCCACCATCACAGACACCTGAGATGCCAGGTCGGCCAGGCTGGGCTCCATTCTGAGGGCCGTGGACATGTATGTGGTCATTAAGTGTCATGGAAAGAGAAGATGCAGTGGAAGAGGGTGGAAGGAGATGGTGAGAAGATCCACCAACTGGCCAGAAAGGCCCGTCTCCAACGGCAGCTCCACAGGTAAAACGCCCTAACCCAGCTGCGATCTCGCCTCTGGCCAGGGCCAGCTTGCTGTTGTCCGGCTTGCTGCTATCTTTCCACCAAGCCTGGGCTTGCTCTCCTCAAGTTTCGCAATTCTAGACTTTCCAACTTGAAACTTTTGTTCTAGTTAACGGGGAAATCAAGGAGAAGAGGAACATGTTCCTTCCCCTTCCCATCTGTGGACAGAATGAGGACCTCACAGAAGGCCCCATATACCCGTGCCCACCACGCTGAGCGTCTGCACACCAGTGCCACTTGTATGTCCTGAATATCTGGAGTCATCCTGCGTTCTCAACCAGGGAAGGACCCACTGAGCAAAGGAGAAAAAAGAATGTCCATTTCAGACACACAGCAAACACACTGTGGGCGGTGTGCAAGCCTTTTTGTTTAATTTTTAAATAATTTATATACCTTTGAAACAAAAACCTGAGGCCAAAATATATCCATCTGAGGTTTTCTTAAATAAAAGAGTTGGCAAAGAACACTGGACAGGCTCAGAGAAGGCTCTAGATCTAAGTTTTAGTGACAACGATGCTCAGATTAGTGACTGTCACCTGGGACCAGATACTTCCCCCAAGAAAGGTGAGCACAGGCTGTAAACCAGGAAGTGGAGACCTTCCCAGCCTTTGGGAGCTGTGCTTGCCGCCCCATGAGGACCAGGGAGAGTCACTGCAGACGCTAGGACAGAAAAGCAGATGAAAGCGGCCTTGGCCGGCGGCCACTCAGGATCACACGAGTGAAACACCCACTTCTTGGACCCGCCTCTGCAGACGCGTTCACACTCTTCCCAGTTTTCTCAAAATGCCCTCCTCCCCGCGGATGAGAGCTGCCAGCTCCAGATGGGGGTCACTTCGACAGAATTCGAGGCCAGGCACAACTCCGAGGAAACAGAGCCTTTCCCAGGATCCCAGAGTGGGCTTTGGGTTTTGACTGGGAGTGAAGGCACAGCCTGGAAACAATTGGGCTGGAGCGAGCAAGGCGCAGCATTCTCTGGGCCCACCCCTGCACCAGGCCCAAGCGTGGGACAGCAGAGCGCCCTCCCAGCGGGTTCCCCCACCTGGTTTCATAGGAAAAGCCTATCTCTGGGCTCCAGAAGCCCAAGCTCCACCCAGGTCCCTCCAACCCTCGCATCTCTGGTGGAGAGAAACCTGGGCTTGGCACAGCCGCTGGGCTCCCCCGGGGCAGCTCTGGGGGCCCTGTGAGTACGCCGGCGGTCACGTTCCCTTCTCCTTCCTCTTGCTCATCCTCTGGCTGCTGAGCTCACCCAGTTTCTTATCCAGCCTCCTCTGAAGCTGAGCCCTCTTGGCTGGGTCCAAGGACCTGTCCTTGGTTCCACTGCCAGCATAGAGAACCCCTTCCCGGCTGATTCTCTGTCGGGCCTGGGCACGCGCTCTCTCACCGCAGCCATGGACCTGGGGAGGACAGAGGACACGAGAGTCAGTGCCAGGCTGTGTGGGGAAGGGCACCAGGACCCGCCGTGTGAGATCCTTGGGGCTTCCTCCTCCCCGATGCCAACTCTTCACCCCACAGGCTGCCAGGCAGGGGTGGGGACTCTAAACCCTGGCCAGAGCACCCACCTCAACTGACCACACAGCCTCTGCAGCCACTTCAGGCTGTATCCCAGCCCTGCCACCATCATCAGAATAAAGTCTGACTCCTCCAGGAAGCCTGCCAGACCTGGTCCTGCCTCAATCCTCACCATCATGTCCCATCCTCTCCTCCCAGTTCCCTCATTGCACCAGGGACCCTTACACATGCTGGAAGGGCTGCCTGCCCACTTGCTGTGACCACCCACCCTCCATGCCCAGCTCCCCACCTTCCACCTCTTAGTTCTCAGCCCACGGACTACTGCCCCTGACTTGCCTTCCTCAGAGCACTTACACAGGGTTCATATGCTGGACTCTGACCCAGATCCCCCAGTGGCCCGAGTCCCCCGGGTCACAGACGGGCTGCTCTGGCCCCAGCTCCCTAAGGGTGTCCTAGCGGCCAAGCACGTTCTCATCTCCATACACTCAAGGCACGAATGAAATGCCAGGCTGCTGGTCTCAGGGAACAGGGCGGGCCCCACCTCCCACCACTCTTCTGCCAAACAGACCATCAGAACCCACCAACTCGAGGGCCCTGAAATAAAAATTCCCCCTGCCCAGAATTCCCACTAACGAGGTTGGAACTCAGCAAACATGCCATTTCCCTTACTCATGCCCAAGGGGTTCCAAACGAATGCTGAGTAATAAAGGCAACCCTCTCAGAGACATTTAGAGCTTACACGAGCCAACCTGTCCATCCGGACTGTGTCTGCCCAGGATCTGCCCCTGAAGATGAAGACAGAGCCCCACCCCCGACCCCCACCGTCGGCCCCAGGAGTGGGGAGGCTGTTGTACCTCGGGCAGCTGGTGGCTGAGGCAGTAGCGGCGGCCGCAGAGCTGGCAGAGCTGGCCCAGAGTGGCGATGCTGGCCGTGCACTTGGCAAAGCCACAGGTGTTGTCAGCCTTAACGGCAGCTGAAAGCAGGGCATCGAAGTCCTCCTCCAAGGGTGCGTCAGTGGCCGTATGTCCTAGGGAGAAGCAGTGACACTCGGGCAAACAGGGAAGAAACAAATCCTCGGACCCAAATGCTCCCACCAGGCATGACCGATAAAACTGCAGCAGCCCACGTTCGCCCCACCTTGTGCGGCTGTGCCTGTGTTTCCCAGCGGCGTGCACAAACACACTCCTTCGCACGAGTGTCCATCCGTCCAGGCTGCGGCTAGTCCCCCTCCTGTTCCCGCTCTGCTGCCCCTCATTCTACACTGACTTAATAACCCTGAACGTCCCACGATACACGTGCGGCACGGTCACCATGGCCCTGAGAGCAGGGCTGGTCGTGGATAGACGGTGCCCGTGCAAGCCCAGCCTCGTCAGCCCAGGAACGGCATTTAGATAGGAGGATATGCTTTATGACATTAGCTAGAAAAACCAGTCCAAGTCTAAGTCCAACACCAGGAAAATGGTTAGAGGAACTACAGCATGAAACATCAGCATGAAACATCAAGAGAACCTTCACACTTTCAACCAGCTGCATGAAAATTAGTTACAGCAAGATGCTCATGATGAGTAGAAAAGAGAAACAAAGTTATACCATCTGATCATAGATCAAAGATACACACATCTCCACGGACATAAGGATGCAGAGAACATGGAAGAGCTGATGCCATGCAGCTCTGGGTGACGCCATGTAAGCAGGATCGCTTCACACCAGTTTCCCATGCCATCTCCTATAATGGGCACGCTGCCATGATGGGCACGCTGCCATGATGGGCACGCTGGGGTAGGGACTGTGGAAAAGACTGAGATGTTAGCCCAGGGCCTCCCAAAGGCTGCAACTCATCTGCAAGTGCCTCAGTTGACGGCAGCTGTTTCAAATCTTCTAAACAGGCCCGCTTCTGCTGCGGTCATCTGTACCTGGGGATGGGCCCACAGGGCTGGGCAAAGGTCAAGCCTATTGTGCTTATACACACACCGACAGCCTGGTGGCCTCCTGGGTCAGAAGGAGAGAAGCACCGCCCCCTGCCACATCCTGACGAGCAGTACCGAGCAACCTGGAGAAGGCCCCGGGGAGGAGCCCTGCTGAGCACAGGCACCCCACTCTCCACAAATGTCTTTAGAGATGAACAGGACACACAGACCAAGCAGAGCATGTCCAGGTCCCAGTGGGAAGTGGGCAGGTAGAGAGCATGCTGGACATCTCAAAAACACAACAGCCTGTCTGTCATGCATCATTGGACCCAAAGCTCCTGCCTCCAGCTAGGGGACCTTGTGACCCGCTGTGGTCCTGTGTGGCCACGTCTGCCACAAGGGCAAGGTATTGGCAGACAACAGGTGGGAACAGCCTTTACTGGGTCCTGCTAGGGCTGGGGTCAGCCTCTGCTTCTTAGCTACAGGCCGGGAGACTGACACAGCCTGGCGAACTCTGGGGATGTGCCCACAGACGGGGCTGAAAAACTCTGAATAGGCCCCTGAAGGTCAGAGCAGCACCTCCCCAGGCCACTTTGGCCTTGAGTGACCACAAAGCAAAAGCCAGCACAAGCCACTCCTTCCAGAAGGCAGGCCAGGCCCTGTTGTCACAAAGGCTTGGCACCTTTCCCTCCAGGATACTGATCATCCTCGTTCAGTTGAAAAAGGAGTGGAAAGCTGGCCCACAAAGCAGTAATGAAGTGTAGTAGATTGGGAGATGGATTCTTAACCAAATGCGGTTCAAATCCCAGCCCCAGCAGCTTGAAAAACACACCAGGCATGTGTGTCCAAATTCTGAGGGAAAGGAGGAATGAAAGAAAAAGGACTGTGGTGTGACCATACCCCACTGGGGGATAGGGGCAGGGGGTCGGTAGGAGGTGTCTCTCCCTCTCTCTCGCTCTCTCTCTAACAAGTGTATGTGCCCTGTGGCAATTTTTTAAAAAGAAGAAAAAGAAGTTGAGGACCAGCCCCACAGCCTAGTGTTTAAGAGAACCAGATCCCACATGGCCAACTGTGCAGTTTGAATCCTGCCCGTCAGTTTGTTTCATTTTATAAATTTAAATATATATATATATTTATTAAAGAGAGATTTTTGCTATAGGGCACTTGCCCTCACCAGAGAGACAGAGACAGAAAGTGAGAGATCGCCCCCCAGGGAAGATGACCACATCACAATCCCTTCGCCTCCAGTTTCCTCTTGGTCCTCTTGGGATCTTGGGCATGCACTCACACGCACCCAGTGTGAGTTTTAAGCCATCGACTCCAGGACTCAAACTACATTCGATTATGTGGGAGTCTAGCAACGTAACCATCACGCTATCTGCTGGTCCTGGCCTTTTCAGTTTGAAAAACATCCTGGCACATGTGTGTACCCAAAATCTCGACAGAATAGAGAAATAGAGAAGAGATTGTGACATGACCATGCTCCATTGGGCATGCTTTTCCCACTCCATCTCTCTCTCTTTCTCTGGCAAACTTAAGCACCTTTTAACAATTTTTTTAAATGTTTTTAATATTATTATTTTTTCTTTTTTTGAGAGGTTTTTGCTATAGGGCACGTGCGCTCGCCAGACAGACAGAGACAGACAGAGAGACAGAAAGCGAGAAATCACCCCCCAGGGAGGATGGCCACGCCACGATCCCTTCTCCTCCATTCTCCTCTCAGGATCTTGGGCACGCATGCACACGTGCCCGGCGTGGGTTTTAAGCCACCAGGTCCAGGACGTGAACCGTGGTTAACTACGTGGGAGTCCAGCGACACAGGCATTACACTAACTGCTGGCCCCAATATTATTTTTTTTAAAGAAAAAGGAGTTGATGTTTTTCCTCCACTAGGATGTCAGCCTTAGAGGGTAGGGGTGGTGTCTGGTTTGTTCACTAACACAAAGCCTGGCACATAATAGCTGCTCAGTAAGGACTTGCTAAATGGGGCCAGCCCATGGCACGGTGGTTAAGGCAGCTGGATTCCACATGGCCAATTGTACAGTTCAAGTCCTGGACCCAGTGACCTGAGAAACATATCAGGCATATGTGCATGCATGCCCAGAATCCCAAAAGGAAGAAAAGCTGGAAAAGAAGGAATTGAGATGGGACCATCCCTTGTGGAGAGTGGGGGGTGGAGAATACTGCCTTCCACCCCCAGCAAGCACACCTGACTTCCTGGCAAATTAGAAAAAAAAAGATTTGCTGAATCAATTCACCAGGAGCCTGAGGCTCTAGAAGGCTCATTTCAAGAACCACGAATGACGCTCCAGGAATTAAATGAATAAGAGATCACAGACTCCTTGCTAAGGGAATGATCATAACAGGAGCTCCCCCTGAAGTCTCTAGAAAAACTGGCTTTGATCGATCAGGTCTCTGAGCTCTAGGCCAGGCCATGGGCACCCCAGCAACGGTCAGTACCATGTAGGACACAACAGGGGACCACACGGCCCGCCCTAGGACTCTGCATGGCCACGTGCGAGGTTCTCGTGCTCAGGAAGCCTTGGCAGTTTTGTGCACTCTGCCCGGGAATGCTTCCCAGTAGCTGGCATGTGCCCTGCTGTTACATGTGGACACCGCCTTCCAGGGCTGCCACCAGCACAGGGCCTGAGTTGCTTTCTGCTCCCCAGAGAAATTCAGGAAACCAGCTGTCCTCACTCTTACAGGCCCTTTCACTTTGTGCGCCCTACCTGCAGAGTCCTGCCTGAGGCCTTGACGAAGAGACCGTGGCCATGGCCCAGTCACTGCTCTGGGAGAGCTGAGACTGAGCCAGGAGACAGGGTCACATGACTAAAGGTAGAGCACAATGACAGAGGCAGCAGCACTGCCAGGAGAAAGTCCTTAATTCTTTCTGAAGGTAACCGGTATGTTTCAAATAGGCCTCCCCAAAGGGTAAGAGAGCACCGTGCCTGTGTTCTCATTCTCTCCACTTACCCTTTGCTTCTTTTTTCTTTTTCTTTTCTGGAAACTTCTTCAGCCCGGAGGCTAGCTGCCCCTCCTTGCTCTCCTTGGTCTTCTGCTCCCGCCTGCTCTTCTCCCTCTCCAGCCTCTCCAGGTGCAGAGCCTTCAGATCCAGCTGATCATGGCCACACTGCTCCCTGCAGGGGTGTCCCGTCTGCACAGGGCTGGGGGCATCTGGGCAAGGAGGGCCTTCGCTGCCAGCCCCTGCTGGGGGTGACTCAGTGAGCAGGGGCTTCTTGCTCACAGTGATGTGCCTCCTCTTGCCCTCCCCGGCACTGCTGTGCATCAGCCCGTGCTCCTCGGCTATCTGGTGGACCCGCAGCCGGTCGTGGGAATTCAGCGACGCAGGAAACTCCAGCTGTGTCTTCTCACTGGCCATGAACTCTGCTATCATGGCCCGGAATAGGCCCTCGCTGTCTTTGCTTACTGTCCCCTCCAAGCTTCCTCCATTGAGGCTGGGCTGAGCAAGGGCTTCAGAGCCCAGAGGCTTTCCAGCCGGCTTCTTCCGGTCCTGTCTGACCGCTGCTCCCCCCCTCCACACT